TAACCTTCTTGAGTGGCTCTTGCACTTTGTATTGTGTGAACATTTAGTTCACACACACACACATTATATATATATATATATATATATATATATATAATGAGGATATACAGTGGAATAGTGGATAGTGGCTTGGATTCTGCAAAAAGCCTTCACCACTATAATCAAATCATATGTGCTGGTGTCTGGTTGTGGGTTTCTAGGAACTGAGCTGCTTGACCCTCATACATCAAATATGACAGGGGAGTCCACTATATATATATATATATATATATATATATATATATATATATATATATATATATATAGATAGATAGTGAATATGATGCATTGCAAGAATTTGGGATTGATAAATATATTAGAACATTTTCCTCTTTCTCTATTCCTTCCGCAAAGTGAAAGTTATTGAATGTCACTTCAATTTAAAGACAAAAATTTCATCATTTGTTTGAGCAGCATTAATTTTTATCTGATGTCTAATTTTTTTTTTTTTTTTTTTCATAGAGATTTCTAAATGAAAAAAATCTCGTTAGGAGAATAAAATAAAGTTTTCTTCAAAAGGTGGATTATTAATGTGGACAGGAATTTCTAAATGATCTTAAATCTATATGTTATTATAGGTGAATTATATACAGTATTAAGGTTTATTAATTACATGTAATATAGGCACATGTTTTAGAAAGTATGAGATTTTAGGATATTTTTTTTTTTTTTTACATTAATAAAAAGAGGCATAAACAACAAAAAAAAATGTCAGGAAATGGAAAAACCACAGCTATAGTAATTGGTATAAAAATAGAAGCAAACAAAAGAGAAAAACAAAATGGAATGAGTTAACTGGTTATTGTTCCTTACTTGTTAGGCTCAATCGCAATAAATAAAATTACTGTGTACAAAGAATAAAAAAGAACATGAAAAAGACAAAATGAAAAACGTACATCAATATATATTGAGGCAAATATATTTTTCATAAACAGATCACAAAATCCACACAACCAATCCTTCTGTTTACACAAGATTGTTTTGATTTAATAAAAAGTTTCCAGGGCTTCCGCAATTGCAGTGTCGGCGCACTTATGCTAATTATCTCATTAACTCTTTCTAATGAATGACAGGACATGGTGAGTAATTCTCTTCTATAAAAGTTGAGTGGTCCTACCTATATAGTCAGCTTCAAACTGACATTTACATATTACAGAGCTAGTTTTAAAGATAGGAAAGACATCTTTTTGAATTGGTCTTCACATAGAGTGAGAAGAGAACATAATACGTAAATAGGATGAGAAATAGCAATGCCTAACACTAGTAGTTGAGATTTGCTTAGTAAATCTCATTCCAGCTTTGTCAGTTTATAAAAATACAAGATATATTAGGCATTTTTGTGGACCAAATCTTTTAAACTTACAAAACTGTGCAATCTAAGCATTAATGCTAAATTTCACAACATTTAGAGGACAGACCTTATCACCAAATATTTTTCTTATTTTGACTACACCAATTCTTGTTCTAATTTATAGAATAGAACAGTAAGTAAGATCTTTATAAAACTAATTTTACATGTCAGATACAAAATGAATCCAAGCGAGTATATAATCCCATGTCGGCTTTTAGTACACAGATGTAATTAAGTTGGAACATTGTCTTTGTATCATAACATCCAAGAAGATACCATGCTCTCTTTTTCATCATACAGAGAACCAGGTACCACACTTTCTTTTTCATCATACAGAGCCAGGTACCATGCTCTCTTTTTCATCATACAGAGCCAGGTACCATGCTCTCTTTTTCACAAGTAAAACAGAAAGCCAGATTCAAAATTTCATGAAATGTTTCCAAATTGCTTTTAAACATACAGAAAGTGTCATCAATGTACATAGCAGTTGGGTCATTTGGCATTAGCAAATGTTCTTTGCTCATAAAACCTCAAGAATATATTAATCATAGCAGGTCCTAAAGGGCTACAGATTGATGCCCCATCCATCAGCCAGTACATCACATCATTTAAGCTAAATTTGATGGACATTGTGGCCAACTTGATAAAACTCATTAGAGAGTTTAAGTAATACAAAGAGGGAGAAAAATGACTATAGCACATAGCATAAGTACGGATATTTATTGTTTCCAGAAGCAGAACACATAAATTTATTGTCAGACTTAAAAGGACAATAATATATAAATCTTTGATAGAGTCTTTTGAATACATATTCAACACAATGTTGTCATAATTCAGTTAATCTTTTTGCCAAATTTTGCCCAAATAAGTTGAACTGCAACACTGTTCTTATAGGTCCTAGGTTACAAATATAAACAGGGGCCCCTGTGAACCAAATCATGATGACTTTGTAAATGTCTACCAGGAGTACCTTTTGCTTTATTAATTTGAGCAGATGTTTCTGAAAATTAAGTTCAATATTTTTAGATTTAACAAAAAACTCAACTGGCCCTAATTTAATAAATTTCTCATCACCTAATATTAACATCACCATAGCTTAAAATCACTATCATTGATTCTTTTTTCTGGTTTTGTAACCATAATAGATTTATTGCAGTATAAACATTTTAATAACCAAAACTTTTATTTATCATGGCAAATCAATACAATTGATTGGAGTACCGACAAAAGCATTGGCCAAAAATCATTCAGTTTAACCCTATATGCACTCACTTTATTTTATTTCAGGTTCTTTACTTGTGTATATCACAGTGTAGAGCTTAAGATGATGAACCATTATCCTTCTGTGTCTTCAGTGAAGCTTACAAGTGTTGTGTATTTATTGATTTGTTTTTTTTACAGTTCTCAACACTTGGCAGGTTATTTTAAAGCCAAAAAATATTCTTAGATTGTAACAATATTTTGGAGACAATAATAATTTACTGATACAAGTCCTACTAATTAACCCATAGTTGGAGGGAGAAGAGGTGGATTCATACCTTATGAAGGGTATCTGTGTGCTAAGTGAATATAGCAAACTTAACTGGAATTTGAACTTGGCTCTCCAATTTCCAATTCCATGTCATTATCCATTACACCACCAGCACGTCCAAGATTACAGCACCTGGTATTCCCAAGTAGCCACCCATCTAGGAACTGACCAATCGTGATATTGTTTAACTTTGGTGATGATACAAGAACCTGTGTTTTTCAACAGGATATACCTATAAGCTGTTTATTTAAAATAAGAATAATCCAGTATTGTATTATTGCAGCCAAGATTAAAGAAGCTTATCCAGATATTTATAATCTAAAGAGCCTTTAAGTTATATAGCTAACTGTGAAGAGAGTGCTTATGGTTACATCATGTGGAAACACTGGTGACCACTTGTGAATACCAAGTGCTGTATGCTTGGATGTGCAAGGGTGGTGTAATGGTTTGTAATTTTTAATTAGAGAACAGAGTTCCAATCCCAGTTGGGTTCGTTATATTCATTTATGCACAAATATCCTTGAGAAGTATATGAATCCACCCCTTATTCCCACCAGCTATGGGTTAATCAGTAAGACTTGTATTGCTAAATCATTATTATCTAAAAAATATTCTTACACTCTTAAAATATTTCCTGGCTTTAAATAACTGTTGGCTATCGAAATACTTTTTCTCTATATTTTTTTGCTTAAATCTAAAAGGTCAGTTGGCCACAGATTTGGAGCTAATATTTCTTATAAATTCTCATTAAAAAAAAAAGTGATATTGCACTAATAAAAAAAAAAAAATCCCAACAAGACAGATGTTTTTAAAGATGAGGTTTAAATTTAATTTTGATTCTGTCAATGTAAACTAACAAGAGAGTAAAAGAATTATATCTGTAAGATTTTATAAATTTCAACCGACAGTAGTACTAACAGATCAGTCAATGAATACCAAATGATTCCTGTATGGCAATGGCTATTTTCACCATTTCCAATGAGCAATAAACTCGTCTACTATTTCAGAGTAGTCAAGTTGACAGAACTTGATTAGAATAACATATGTAATAAAATAAAATCACCAAAAACCCTTGATCCCAAAGTTATTTTGAATGAGGAAATATGTCTAAATTACATATACTTAATAAACTTTAGCACTGCACATAAGTCTACTAAAATAATGTACACATTTAAGATTATTTATCAACTTCTGCTCACTTCATTAATCCATATTATGAAGAAAACATTTTATTCTCCTAAACAATTTTATTTAGAAGTCTGAAAAAAAAAAAAAATATCAAGTATCATATAATGTAAAATAGCATGGGCAAAATTAAATTCTAACCTGGAGAGAGAATAGAAGAAGGCTAGAGATTTATAAAAAAACTTATAAATTTATTTATTGTTGAAAGAATAGATTTTAACATATAAGCTTTAACAACCAAAACTATTTTTTCTATTTGAAAATAAGAAAAATTGTTAATTTATGTATAGAAATAAAATTTTGATAAGATAATGTAAATAGTCACATTTCCAAAATAAGAGATGATCAATATATTTGTCTATACATGAAAGTGTTTTAATAAGTAGATACATTTACTTGTATATGTGCGAGATAAATGCAAAAATATAAATGGGTTGAAAATCAAAGTCTGCCTATAAAAATTATTTGTAGATATCAGAATACAAGAACTTTGCATTTTTATATGGTGTCACTTTGGCAAATTAACAGTAAGTTTACAAGAATATAAATCAGAAATGTCAATAGATGTAATCTGCCCTTCTTATAGTATTTCTTCTTGTTTTATACTAATTAATATATTATATTGGGGGATGGGATCCTGGGGAAAGTGAAGCAATTTTAAAATGAACCTCAGATGAAAGGGGTAGAGTGTAAACATTTGATGAGGAAAGAGTTAAATTTTGACACATATGAAAAAAATGAAAAACAAAAACAAAACAAATGGATCAAGAAAATAAAAAAAAAACAAGAGCAGTAAAATGTAAATCAGTAGATCTGGGATAGATTTCATTTTATTTTTTGTACAGGATTGCAATGTATCCAGAAAAGTTGGAGAATATATTCAAGGGGAAGGGGTTAAAGGATAGGAATGAGACCAGATGTGTGAAAGAGAGAGAGAGAGAAAGAGAGAGAGAGAGAGAATGAGTAGGTACCCATTCCAGTTTTGGCTGCATCTATCCTCACTAGCTGTGATAAATACATTCCATTTTGAGGATTGGTGGGGCTGGGAAGAGGCAAATAGGGAGAAAATAGGAGTAAGAGGAATTTATTTTCTGTTTTTTTTTTTTTGTATATTTATTGTTTTTATTTGCTTTTTCTTTTAATTTTCTCACATTGTTTTTTTTTAATTCTTTTTGTTTTTGTCTTATTTTACACAGAAAAAGTAGTCCATTCAACTGTGAACTGTGAAATAATAAAAAATTAACTGTTTCTTTTTCCTTTTTTAACTTTCTTTTTGATAATCTTTTTATTTAATACTGATTCCTCGTTGTCCCCCCCCCACCAAAAACGTCTTTTTTATTTTTAACATTTTTTTGTTTTGCTATTTTGTCTTTTTTTTATTACTTATTGGTAAATGGAGGGTAAAGAGGAAATGTTGTTCCAACCACATGGGTATGATGGTGTGTGTGAACATGTCTCTGGGTAGGGGGAGAATTCTGATAGTCCCTGCTTTTTTCAAAATTTGGTGATGGTGATACTGATGTCTCAGATATTGAAGATTTTGTGTGTGGCGAGGAGTGACAATTGGAAGAGGAGGAAGGAGAGGGCCGTGATGACAGAGGTTTCTCTTGCAGTTCATGCATTTTGTGCACGCCAAAATATGGCGCTGATGATGAATGATGGATAACTTCTGCGGATTTGAAAGTTTCCAATTCAGATCCACCAATAACAGGCTGATTAAGCAAGGTTTTTGATGGATTGGAGTTCTTCTCATCCTTTTCAGGCTCATTAGGGTTCACACGGTAGGCCAGGTGTGTGGGGTGTAAATAGGGAGGGTTTGGGTAGCCTAGGACAGGATTGAAAGGTCGATAGGGGTCAAAGTGCAACTGGTTGTATGCTGGGGATTGCACATAAGGATATGACAAGTAATGAGGGTAGTTGGCTGAACTAGCTGATGCCACAGTTGTTGTCGTTGTCGTGGCTGTTGTCGTCGTCGTATTGCTAGAGCTGGAGCTACTGTTGGTGCTGGGTGAAGAAGAGATATTGCTGCTGCTGTTATTACTATTGCCACTGTTGCCACTGGCACTAAGAGAAGATGAGTAAGAGCCTTTTAGTTTTTGGCTGTCAGCAGGGCTACGCATTCTATCCATCATCATCATTCGCTGCTTTTCATCGCCTTTCATGTCTGATGACATTGACTTACCCACAGCATTCATATCACGTACAACCTCTTTGCTCTTATTGTCTGAGAGATCCCGTTTGGAAGGATTGTGGCTACTTGAACCAGTACCACTACTACCAGTACTACTACTACTAGTGTCCCTGACATGAATGTCTTCTGGAAGCATTCGACCATGTTCTAGAGATTTGTGGCTAGAACTTTTAGGAATCATAGATTCCATAGACTGCATGTCTGCCTTGGAAGCAAAGTCCATTTTGTGTTTCTCTTGTCCAATAAGTTTTTGTTGGTTGAACATATAATAGCGCTGAATTTCCTCACTGTGGCGCATGTCATCATGGATCCTGTAGGCCTCCAAACTGGACATTTCATATCGGGATTTGTCCATTTGGGGTTTGAGCTCAATGCTCTCTTTTAAGATTTGGTGATTTTCATTCTGTTTCTCCCTGAGTGCTTGTTCTCGGTCCCGCTCAAGGGACTTTTCTGAAGTGAGTTTGTGACTGTCAGTCATTTTGTCAGCTGGTGTTGGTTTCAAGGCAATACCATGCGAGTTGGACTTTATTGAACGCATATTGGGTGGTAAGTCTGAATGTGGAGGGCCTTTTGATTCATCAGGCAAGCCAGATTTGGAGTGGTAATCTCCTGGTTTCTTGACTGGCTCAACATCTTTGCCTTGATGATGTTGCTGAAGACGTTTTTGGTCCTCAAGGACTTTGTCATACGGCCTGTACTGAGGGGGGACCAAATGCATAGAGTATGGTTCCATATAACCATATGGGTACTGGTAGGTATTGTGTTGGTGCCAGTAGTACGGGGAATACAATTTTTGTGGATAGTCGGGCGGAGGCAGGCCTGGTCCACTGGCACCACCACTTGGCCCACCAGTGCCACCTCCACCACCTGGTGGAGCTCCCTCTTTATGTTTGGGATCTTCTTTTTCTTCTTTGATTTTCTTCTCTTCAATCATCTTGCTACCTTCATCAATGGAGATGCTCACTTTCTCATCATGGCTGGAGGCAGCAGAAGTAGCATTGCTAGAATTTGAAGATGATGAGTGATCTCCTTTCACAGAGCCTGGTGTTTTGTGGTTGCTTACTGTTGTGCCACTACTGCTGTTGCTAACAGAGCTGCCACTCTGGCTGACATGAGGTGATGAGGCTTGTGACACATTTGGCATAAGATATGATGATTGACCATAGTAGCCATACATGCTGTAGTGTGGCACAGGAGCAGCTGCCTGGTCGGAGGGATTCTGATTGGCATGTTTCTCTTGCTTACGAGATGAAGATGATTCCTCTTTGCCCTTGACAGGAGTATCACCCTGACTTGGTGAGCCTGATTCATTTGCATCAGAGATGTCTGAATAAGCTGGACTTTGGACATCGTCATTGACTGGTGTTTTTCTCTCAGGAGTTGAAAGCAAACCTGAGGGGCCAACTTTGAGGAGACCAGGAGGTTGTGCCATACGAGCCATGTGGCTTGGATCAACAGATTTTGGTGACACCTGCGAAGAGGCGATCACAGAATTACCACAGCCTAAAGTGCCTGCACCAGGCCGGGACAGGTCAGAGGTTAGGTGGGGTGGTTCCATTAAGCTGCCACCTTCTTTTTTCTGTAACAACTCCATTCCAGGCTTTGGAGGAGAAGCCACTGCTTTGATCACAGCTGTCCGTTCATATTTGGGAATGTCACCCTTCATTGGACCAAGTTCTCCAGGTTTGATTCCATCTTTTTCTTTACATTTCTTTTTCTGCTTGGCTTTTTTGTCTTTGAGTCCAACAAGAGCTGGGTTAATGTTCATGGGTTCACCAAGAATTGTTGGCTTGGGTTGGATGGGTTTAAGAGAAGGAGATACCTGAGTGTGTGTGCTAGGAACTGAAGTCAGGCTGGTATGGTTGGAGCCAACACCACCTGCAAAAGCCACAACTTGAGGAGTTGGGGCTGGAACAATGGGTCGTGTTGGTGTTTTCACTTTTGATTTATCTAGCACAGATGATTTATCAGTTTTGATACCCTTATCGGATTCAGAAACATGGGATATTGGTCCCATGGCTGAGACAGGGATTGGCAGGGACTGGCTACTCACAGGACTGCTAGCCGATGATGTTGTCACTGTTGTAAGAGGGTTAATTTGGCAGTTAGTTTGTGTTACCATAGCAACGCTCCCAGAGCCAAGGCAGCCCATAGGAGCAGCTGCCAATTGATAAATTTGGGTGGTTAGAGATTGTTTGGACACACTACTGACCGAATGGCCAGGAGCTGATGGAGGAATTGGACCTGAACAACTTGAAGGATGTTCAGTCTTTATTGTTACCTTCTCAGTTTTCAGACCCTCCACAGATGGCTCAATTTTTATGGCAGGCAGCTTTTCTGGGGCACATTTCTGAGCATCACTATCATCTGTTGAGCTGGGAGGACACAGACCAGTGTCAGACTGTTGCTCTGTAGAAAGCGAACAATCTGCAGCAATGTTATCATCACTCATTGATTCCTCTTTGATTTTGTCTTTACGACTTGCCTTTCCAGCAGACATTTCAGCAGGCTCATCTTTCCGAACCCTGGCAATTTCTTCATCAGTAGCATTCTCCTCCATGCTTGCAGCATTGTCGTCGCGGAGATTTTCCTCAGCTTCTTGTGCTTGGAGCATGGCACTGTGATGTGCATGTGACTGATGGTAGCGTAGACCATTGATGTGTTTGTACTGTTTGTTGCAGTTGGCTTCTGGACAAGTTAGAAGTCCAGGAGATGTACTTTCTCCTGGGGTGGAACCATTGCTACTAACAATTGTCACTGTAGTACCAATGCTGCCTGTAGATGATGTATTGGAGTTCTGGTTATTGGTGGTGTTGGAGGCAGCTGTGGCACCTCTAGAGCTTGAACGACATCGTTTACTACCTTTGGATGAGTCGGGAGGAACAGAGAGATCCAAATCAGAGGGCCGCCCTTTCCGTTTTAAGGAACTGCTACGGTCATGCTCTGGCTTGGCAGGGCTGGGTGGGGCTTGGAAACTATTGCCACCACATCTCCGACCTTTCCTCAATTTGCGACCCTCATTGTTGCTGTTGTTGTTGCTGTTGTTGGCGTTGCTGCTGTTGCTGTTGTTGCTATTATTGCTATTCACACGTTCGTTGACGGGTGTAGCAGTGTTGCCCCGTCCCCGTTTTCCACGTCCCTTCGGTGTTCTTGATTCGAGGTCACTTACAGGGGAGTCACAGTTGAATCTGAAGGAGAGAACAATACGGATTAGGAATCCAGCAGGGATATAAAGTGGGAAGGAAGGATGGATGGATGAAAGGAAGGAAGGTAAAATCTTGTCAGATGAAAAAGGAAAAGGGGAAAAGAGGGAATATGTGAAAGAATGTGGCAAAATAATCCACAAAAAGTCTTTTTTAATACAGAAAAAAAAAAAAAAAAAAACTAAAGGAAAACAAAAATCACAACAGTAAGAAAAAGCATGAAATCAATAAAAGAGAAAAAGAGTTGGTTCAATAAGGACTCCAGAGAAAAGGAGACAATTGATAAAGTCCAAAGAAAGAAATTCTGGTAAATTGGGACTCACAATGCTTTCTAAGAAAACAAGTTTGTTTGCATATACATGTGAACCAATCTGTTTTACAAATCTTAGTCAGAAACAATAAATTGGTTTAGAAAAGACAAGTAATAAGTCTGGGGAAGTGAGAGGGTGAAGAGAATACACCAAGTATCTAGAGTCCCTTACATTGCATGTATCCAATGAGGCCTGCACCAGCCAATGTACCCTTATCAGGTGCAAACCTAGTAGAGAAGGCTGCTGCTAACTGTGCACCAATGAAACTAGCACAAAGATGCACTTGCCAAGTGAGTATGCAACTGGGTTAATATAAGGCTGAATGTCAAAGGTTCACATAGGCTTTATTTTAAATTTTATGCATAACAATGTAAGCTGAAATTATGAAATATGCTACCCTCCCCAATCAACACTTTAAAATGCTTTTGAATGGAAAAAAAGTAGTTGTACAGAGAAAGCTATTTTCCATACAATATTATTTCTTTAAAATCTCTGAACATGAATAAAGAGACAATTATCAAGAGAATATCTACTTGACTGTTCTATTCTGAATATTAAGAGAGAGAGAGAGTAGAAGTTGACACATGGCCATGGTGGAAAGAAACAAAATAGAATGGAGAAAAACGCAGGTAGTACAAAGTAATGGTCAATTAGTACAGATACACTGGAAGAGCAAGGACAAACAAATTGATCAAAGAGGTATAGGGAGAGAGAGCACCATACACACAAAAGTACAAACTGAATGCACAGAGAAGGTCAAGAAAAGAAAACAGATAAAGATCTGGCAAACTAATATTGCTAAACTAGTCATGACAGTAAGAAAACAGAAATAACAAATTATTTTTGTGTGTTAGACATCTTCAAATATGAATAGTTATATCAGAGGGAAGAAGAAAAAACAATGTAATCATAAGCTTTTTAATCAATAACTTTTAGCTGTGAGTTAAGCTGAGTGGATATGTGCCTTTTCTTTTAGCTCAGACAAACTCCACTTGAGCAGAATGTGGTGCATGTGTGGGTGGGTTGTTTCCAGTTGACTACAAACTGTAATTGTTGTTTCTGTCAAGTCTGTGCCTAAAGTTAAACATCAATGTCATCAGAAAACTTTACGGTGACATAAACATAATTATCCTTATAGATGTCGAAGAAGTTGAAGCTGAAACCTGATGGGCTGATTAAAACTTTTGAAGGTGGAGAAAAGGAGAGTGGGAGTAAAAGCTTTTGAGAAACAAAATATGTCTAGACTATTAAAAATATAAATTAAGCATAAAAGAATTAGTGGATAGATGTGTTTTTCTCTCTTTTTGCTTTTGCTTCTTAGAAATAAATCAGTGAACTCCTTTTTTGACTTTTTGATGAAATGAGCTAATCTAATTGCAGCACACAAGTAAAGAGAAACATGTGCACAGGTTATGGCATCTGAAAATGAGCAAAGAATACAAAGGCAAAAATATAGGTTCTTGGAAGAAAAAGACGTGCAGAGCAGAAAATTATGGCAACGTTTTTACCATGGCATTCTCAGTTCTAAAATGTACAAGATGAAGATGACAATTAGTCAAGAGAAGAAAGGGTTTTATCAAAATAAGTAAAATGTAAATTTAATAAGCTTGAAAATAAATTACATTTCAAGTTAGGACAAGATACCTACATTTTATTTCAAATTCTTGTATATGCTAAGTGACACCATTTATTAGTCATAACTGTGTGTGCACATACTCATATAAAAATCAAAGGGTAGTTAAAATAAATATATGTAATGATCTCTGTAGTAGTAGTAATTATATTTTGTCTAAAGGAACATGAAGAAAATATTCTAAATGAACCTGTACATAGATGAATACAAGATACTAAAAGCTTTTTGCATTGTAAGCTTCAAAGAAAATTAACACACACTTATTTGTTTATTTTGGACTATTCATGAAAAGTTAACTATTATTAAAATGTATTTCTGAAATGAAAGTGAATAAAAAAACATCTTTACATTGAATAGAACTAAAAACAAAAAAGAGCAGTAATCTTGCAAGAATGTTATTTGAACTCCCTTGCTCCAAAGCGAAATCTCAAGTACAACTTAAGTTTCTAGATAGAAAGAAGATCAGAGGAAAAGTTGATATTTTTAATCCAGAACATTTGTGTCATACTTTATCCACTCTACAATGGTCTGTTACAAAGAACAGATACTGACTGTACTACAAAACATTATCAGTGGGGAAAGATTTTAAGGCGTGTTTCTCATATTCTGGACATAAGTTATATGAATTGTACTTTGGATCACTATGTATTTTTTTTAAATACATTTACAAAGTATGTCTTGTCTCAATTAATATTTTGCTGGAAATAAAACTAAGGAAGAATATGTGAATCAGTGTATAGCTTTTTTGAATTCCCTATTCTTTGCCAATAATAATGATTTTTTTTTGCAATATTCAACTGAAGCTTGATTTTTCAGCTTCACCTCTGATTATATAAAGGAAAATGAAAAGACTTTTTTTAAAACTTTAAATAACTATTCTATTGTGAGTGCAATGTTCATTGTCTTGCAATATGTTTTTGGTCACTATAAAAATAGAATACAGTATTTTCCATAAACAACTAAATTTTGAGCAATAATTCTATTGCATATAGTGTAGCAATATTTTGAAAATTAAGTTTTAAAAAGTAATAAATATAATACTACCTAACAATGCATTGTTTGCTTTCAGACTGGGGCAGGTGGGCAAAGGAAACTGCTGAGAAAGTGAATAATGGGTTTCTCAAACAAAATCATCTTTTGATGCCTTTTAGGGAAAAACTGCCAACTAGATAGAAAGTGATATTTCCTCTTGCATTTTCACAGTATAGCAAACATTGAGAAGTTGAGGAAAGATAAAAAAAATGAAAAGAAACACTAGTTATCATTTTCATACTTGTTGGACAAATTGTTAAACAGACCGACTATGTAAACAGAAGACAAGAAGGATGTAAAGATGGAATCTTCTTAGATAAAATATATGCACTTCATCTTGTTAATGTATTGCTGACCTTGAGTTGATCCTTTTCTCTAAGAGAGTCACTACATGTGGATCAGGCATGTGTGAAGAAGCTTGTTTACTTGATTAATTGCTTTGTACATTAAACAGAAACTGGCTTTATGAATTGTACATTTTCACATTGTAGGATTATACTATTCCTTATGTGAAAGGGGATTAAATATTCTGGTGTTTATTGAAACTAATTTTAAAACAATTTCAAAGTTTATCACTGCATAAAATCTTTTTATCCATTATTCATTCATTTAAAATAACCATCTTAATTATAAAGGTAATTATTTTGAAAATATTGCAGATGGTTTTTGCATTGCCAAATAAAGCTTAATATAAAAGAAAGATTTTTAAAGATACATTTTTAATACCTAATAACTAATAGTTTGGTATCTGGGAAAATATAATGTTTCATAATGTATAAAGATTAAAAATTTCATGAAGCATAAAGTTGCATAATCTTTTGATATTGTTTGAAAATTACTTTTTACTTTTTTGTATGGATGGTAAACAAACCTTTATTAATCTTAGATATTTTGTAATTAATGAAGTGCAATAGAGAAAAGAGTAGCATCAAAGCAAGAGAAGAAAAAGAAAATGCTTTGGGAAATATGTATACTATGTAAGTATTATAGCTTTTACAAGACTGTTAGAAAAAGTGTCTTTAGAAGTGAAAGTTATTTTAGTAACTAATCTGTTGCTGTAAGTTCACTTTAATAAGAAATAGTTTGGGATAAAACATCTGAAAGTATTCCTTCACTGGCAGAAGGCCAGACTGAGAATTCAAATCAACAATGTAAATTAGATTTTTATTCTTAATTGCAATAAGATTGATTAGAGCCTGTTCTCCATAATTTATTGTTGTCATTTACATGTTCGCAGACTACTTTATACTCTGGCATACATCTCAGACATCCCAAACATAGTTAAGGTTTTGATTTCAGCTCTTCTTTTCTTCTTCTTCATCAAACAATATTTGGACACAACATATTTAATTACAACTTGTTAAAGCAGACATACACAGCAGAATCAATATCACTAGTGATGTTGACATGTAAAGCAATTTGGTAGCAATTCACAACAAATACCTTGGCTATTTTTCAGTCAATATTACATCAAAAGTATCAAATTCAAAAGTCTTTTAGAAATTTCCCATTCTTTGATTCATTTCTTTTACCAAACTTATAATTTGCCATTTATACTGGCATAAAATAGTACATTGGCATATTGCTTTCATTATTTCCCAAAATAGTTATCCACAGATTTGGATACTGTTACTATCATTTGTACTTTACATATGTTAAAGTAACTCTAACTTCTTAGGCATTTGAAGAAAACAAAATACAAAGATCTTATGACCACAAATTATATCTTAACATTATTTTTACAATGCAAGAGATCAACAGAGTAATACAATCAGAAAAGACTGCAGTATTCCTTGTCATAAAAAGGGATTTTCACAAAAGAAAAATACACAGATCTTCATGAGCAGTTATATATATATATATATATATATATATATATATATATATATATATATTACTTCATATGTTATTATAGTGGGCATTTCTTATTTGAAATAGATGCAAATCTTTATTTATTTAATAGTGTATTACGCCTATTGACCTGCATATTCGAAAATCTAAACAAAATG